AAACATTAAAATGCAACAACGTCACTTACATCATTATCACCGCATCTCGTGCTCCACTGATGACGCTCCCTGATGCATTCAAATGCAAATGTTTATTTTAAATTCGACTAATATTCATTCTTTACTCACAATCTCCTCATCACAGGCAGGCACAGCACTCATGTTCGTGTTCGTGTGTGCTGTCTGCGTCACTCATAGCACGTGCCTATATCGTGCTCTATATCGAACATTTTTTATATCGTTATCGAAGAAGGTGTACCGTCGATAAATATCGATACCGTTTTATCGCCTAGGCTGTAGATCAGTCTTGCTAGCACCACTTTAAACGAGTAGTTATATTTGAGTTCTTTTGATTTATATGTAATTATTTGAACGATGATGTAGCATCTCTCCTGTGTGTGTTGCATTGGTGTGAATTGAGATGTTCTGCTGTGTTCATGTGGCTGTAAATTTGATTGAGATGAAGAGCACTAGTAAATCATTTTCTTCTCTCGTCAGGTTTCCCAGCGACAGCGTATGGACCCGTGGCAGCAGCAGCAGTGGCGGCAGCACGAGGCTCAGGTAGGGTGACCAGGGGAAGAAGCGGCTACATAGCGTACCCACAGAACGCAGGGCCAGGTAAACACTCTTTACCGCCTGTGTTCTGAGTGGCTACTGCTCTCCCCTGCCGAAAACACACACTCACCTTCACTAGTGTCCTGTTTCACATTATTCACTCGTCATGTGCCCTAATCTGTCATTTAATGGCTTCCATTGCATCCTTGTTGCACAAGATAAATCTCTCTGCTATGACTGGCTACAGACTGTTCTCTGCTTAGCAACCTTCCCAGGTTAATGCCAATCAGTAGAGGGCACTGCCGAAAGCAGAACCAACATTGAACCTGAACTTTACTGTGGCCTGGGAAGTGTTTGTTTTAGTGCCCTCTGTAGCGCAATATAGAGGAGTGTATCCACCTCAGGTGATCATCTAGAATCCTTACCACTCTCTGTCAAGAGTTTGAAGTGATACAGGTTTAAGAGTAGTCAAACATATAGTCCACATGTAGAGATGTGCAATGTTCAGAATTTAATTGAAAATGGCTTTTTGAATTGAGTTAACAGACAGGGTGCAGAATTGCAGTTCTAATCTGAATACAAGGAAGTGGAAATAAAATTAATTTAATTCAAAGAGATTCAAATTACTAATTTTATCTAGAAAAGCTTCAAATGCTGGCTTAATCTAACCTTGTTTGATAGTTTTGTAAAATGTTTAAAAAGCTCCATGTTTTAGGATGAATTTATAGCTAGAAATGTGAAATGTCAACTAGAAATTTCTATTTGGTTTATGTATTTCATCCTATTTTAATTTGAATTTCTTTTCAATTTGAATCCTTTTTACTGTCATTGCATTTCAACTTTCTGTGGCTCATGGCCAATTCAATATAATTCAAATTCACACTCATTAACGGAAAGGGGAGTAAATTCAGAATTTGGCCCAGCCCTGTTTTCAAGATAAGTGTGTTGCTGTGACTTCCACATGAAAAGCATTATGGGAAGTGTCCATAGTTTAAATAGTTAAAGCAAATGAAAGCGGTGACACCTGACCCATGCATCATTAGCAATTTCCATTACAGATTTGTGCAAAACATTTGCTATATTTTATAAATGCCAATAAAAAAACTGTTGCGAAATGACGGCGTTTCCATTAACTGATTTGTGCGACTAAAACTTAATTTTTCCTCTCACGATAAGTCATGGCGATGGATTTTGGTAGGTTTATGTATATCACAGGCACCACACTAGCAATGAATTTTAATTGAAGGAAACGTAGGAGTGTATCTTTAGCAAAGCAGGGCGGAGAGCTGCTTCTGGGACGCTTCTGAAACATGCCGCAGTGCACCTGGTAAAAACACAAGCATTGACAATCAGCTCCGGTGGCCGTAATGCGCCACAGACATGTGCAGTGTAAATAAGGGGTTATCCAAGCTTTAATACCAAGCAAAAGTCCCTTATACAAGCATTGTGTAGTCAATGCTTGTGTAAGCGGCCACATAGCCATTCATTTTAATTGAGGAGACATAGGCGTGTATCTTTAGCAAAGCAGCGTGGAGAGCCACTTCTGGGTCCGCTTCTGAAACGTTTTTCCCTCTTTTTTTTTTTTTTTTGAGGTTATAGTACATTAAAGCATGATCATGTGACTTTTACGTACACCAGGTGACCTGTAAATGCAAAAAAGCCATTTTCATTGCAGTTTTTTTAAATATTCCTTTTTCGAATTACCTGAAAGACCACCTCATGCAATCACAAAACCTTTTTTTGTGATATATGGGAGTTTTTGCAAAACTGTCGTGTTTCCATTGGGCGTATTTTCAATTCGCAATTGCAATTTGCGCAATTTGAAGGGCAATGGAAACGCGGCTAATGTTTTCTAATGGTCATGATATGCAGCACTGTTTTGTACAACATGAAGTATAAAGACGCACATATAGTATGTAATGATACGTCATGCAAATTGTTGGATAATCATTGGATGCACTTCTAAAGGTCAGATATGGTCAAAGTTGAAATTATTGAATTTGAACATCACATTAAATGCTTAAACTGCTTGCAACATTGTTCCAACACGCTGCAGCTACGCTCAATAGAGTTCAGAGCACTGGAGAATGTTAAAGTAAGTCATGTCTCAACAGTAATGGTGCTCCAACAATAACATGAGAACTTTACACTACAGCTTACAGACTAAACATCTCAAAGACTTGATAACACACTGTAGTTGTTCCCTTTCAGTTGGAGTTTATTGGCCTAGTACGACTGCGCTTAAGAGGAAATTGTCTTGGTGAATTGCTTTCACGAACGCACTCAAGCCCTCATCTAAATTCTGCAGTGCCCTTTTTACTGCCGTTTCTTGTTAAAGTGAGAGTTTCAGTGATTCAGGTGGAGGTCTGTCTCCCTGGACCTGACAGAGTGAAGGGAGAAGACTGTTGGCTCCACTGGGACCTCCTTCACGGGAACCTCACAGCCTTCTGGAGGCAAATCTCCCTGGTGCACGGCAGTGGCGGCATGTGTCTCCATCTGATGTGCCTCGTCCATTTCTTGCTTTGCTGAGACATCTCCCTCTGGATCTCTCTGTCCCTTTCAGAGCAAGCAGTGGTCTCTCAAAGGAGGATCACGGGATGCTTGCTTTTCCAGAGGTTGCCATATGCGAATCAATCTATTCCTGATCATTAAGGCAGAAAGGACTTCTGTGTGTGTGTGTCTCTCTTTTAGTTCACCTCATCATGTGCAGCTTTTCTTTTCTCACCTTTCCATCCCCCCATCTTCTATTTCCATCTCCCCTCCTGTCTTTATCTCCTCTTTCCCCAGTGAGTTGGTAGTTGTCGTAAGACACTAACAGATCAGTGGAAAGTGATGAGTTTGCTCAGCAGATGGAGTGCAGTGGAGGCAGTTTCCTGTGCCCTGGTGTATTGTGGGAGTGTGCAGTGTTGAACTATATTCTTTTGAATAAGCAGTCCCGTGTCAGTGCTTTTTCAATGGCCAGCGGTTGCTGCATTTAACCCCAGTGTCCTACCAAATCTGCTGGTCTTCATTTTTTCCCCACAGAACTGTTGGTACTTTGAAACAAAACATAGCATGGGTTCAGGTCCGTTTGTGTTAATTAACAGATAGAAGCATGGTAGTATTACAAAGTTGTATTTGAGGGAGCAGATGAGATTTCGTTACTTTCTGCTCTGCTACAGTGGGCCGCCCGCCCGCTTGCCCGGGCATGAAGATGCTCCTGTTTGGCAAAATAGCTCACATTATCTGAGATCATTATCCATTTCATCCCAACAAGCTCTGTGAGCCTTGAAAAGCATCTCTGTGGAGGGCTGTTTTGGCTCGTGTATACGAGGTGAGATTAAACTACAGGCCCAGGTTAGGGTTAGTGCATTAGCTCCTGCTGGACTGCACGTGATGTAAATCCCCTTGAAAATTGAATAAAAAATGCACCTGAAGTTACAGCAGCAAAGCCCCCTGTCAACAGTCCCAGAATGGGTCGCTCTGCTGAGATACGCAAAGCTGAAGACACTGTGTTTTCACATTAGAGCTCGAGTCCATTCGTATGGTTTGTATGAAAGAATCATGCCCGAGTTTTGATACCTTCTAAAGTGGTAAAGAGCAGTAGTAGCAGAGCCTTGTGCACTTTGACACCAATTTAAAAAGTCTAGACTATGAATTTATTAATCATTTAAAATAAAAATAAAAAAGTAAAGTATAATTGTATCATTGTTTTTATCTGTTTAATGCAATATTTTAAGAATATTTTTTACATGTATTTAAATGTAATAAATGTAAATAAAAAAAATTTTTATTAGGGTGCTTTCACACTTGGTTCTATGGCCTGGTCCGAACCTGGGTTCGATTGCTCCCCCCTCCCCTTGCCCCCGCTGGACTGCGTTCATATTATTTTATTTGGGTCCAAACCACGGTTCGTTTGCGTCATCAAGCCAGCAGCTGTTTACCCCGTTGCTTAGTAACACATTTTTAGCAAATAAAATGTTATTAATAGTGATTCACTTCCGTGATTTGGAGTTCACATGAACCGTACCCCAGATCGCCTCTTTTAAGCGGACTCTGGTACGGTTCACGGGAGAGTTCGGAAGACAGCGTTCACATCATCCAAACATACCAAACGCTGACGTCAATCGAACTCGGGTGCGCACCAAAAGTGCTAGTGTGAAAGCACCCTTATATTCTGTCTGTGTAGTATATTTATTTTTAAAATCATGTAACATTCTAATTGTTTAAAATGTAGGACTTTAGAACATTTTAAGAGAACACAAAAAACATAACCCGATGAAGCTGATCTCTAGATAACTCTCAACTTTCAGTTTGCTCAGCAAGAAGTCTTTAGAAACTTTGTCACTTAAAAAAAACATGAGGTGATGGGTGTCTTCCTGCTGTGTGCATCTACAAATCATAACGCTCAGTGTCAAAAGCTTTGTAACTGAGCCGTCACTAATTTAGATCTACCGTCCTGGATTTGTGAGGTTACTTTGTCATTCAACCAGTGAAAAGCGTTGAGAGAGACCTGAGAGCACGGCAGAAAATGCCCGAATAAATCATGTGTTAAAATTCATTAGCAAAGCCTTTCTGAGCACCAAAATGACAAGACATTAAATATGTATTATTTATTAAATGTCGCTACTTACGGAAAAGGGGTTCTAGTGATGTTAATTAGCCAGCCGTTCGGTCAAAAAGGACTGTTTTAAATGGAAAGTGAAAGCTAAATCCAGGCACGGGTGTTTTTTTCTCCTTTCTAAATTGACTTTAGGTGGAAATGAAGAGGCTAATTACAGCTGCTCTGAAATTCAAAGCTAATTTGGGGGCCAATATGACGGGCTAACTGACAACCGTTCTGAAGTGGCTTGTTGGAATGGCCACCAGGGATTTGAGTGGGTGTTGCGTGTGCATGGAAAATCTCACACTTGTTCACTGATGCACTCTTAACCAGCTCAGCCGCATAAGTGGCAGAGGAGAGACACTGGCCTGTGTTTTATTGTGAATGTGATCGAAAGCTCTTAGACTGTTTGACGTGTGTGTGTTAGTGAGCGAGAGAGGCAGTTTGAGGTCACTTCTGTGATCTGGGTAAGTGGAAGTGAGGGGAGCCGTTATCCACTCAGAGAGAGCCGCCCCACTGCTGACTGCATGCAGAGATTCGGAGGGAAAAAAGGGAGAAAGAAAACAAGTATAACAGTGACGACTGGAGTTGTAAGTTTGTACGAGTCCTTTCTGTTGTTCAGGAGAGAGATGGTGAGAGTGAAAGAGGGGAGAGAGGTAATTATCGTCAGAAATGAGGCTCGGCGAACGATTCGCACTGCTGGGCCCGCTGATCCGGTCGCCACGGCAACGCCGACCTACTCACTTGTTTTGCATACGAGTAATTACATCCAATTAGGCTACCGAGAGAGAGAAAAAAGAGAAACAAATGGAAGAAGGGGTCTTTTGTTACGCGCTGATAGCTGGAATATTAATAATTGGGCTTAAGATACGATCGACAGTGATACTGTAACTAGGAGCTGAGCTGAAGTCTTCAGCAGTGCACACCTGAGAGCCTCACCTGCACACACACTCACTCGCTCTCCTGTTTATAGTTGCGATGGAATTTAAGTAGTTGCTGTCAGATGTTGAAGCTATTATGGGATTTCAATGCAAGGGCCCCGTCAGGCCTCAGACTCTCTGCTGTACTGTCCGTGGAGTGCTCTAATATACTGTAGTGGTCAGGACTGGAGACAAGAAGATTGCTGGTTTGATCAAACCATTCAATGAGCACTTAACCTCAGGTTACTTCAATAAGGTCGTGGTGGCATTCTATTCTATTCTTGATGTCTTTAAATTCTATATGTACCTTTGTCATTTTAAATGTCAGGTTTTAAATGTAGTATTTTTACATTAAATAATATTTATTTTATTACTTTTATTATTTAATCATTAATAATTATTACGAAGTATTATTATTTAAGATTTATTTTAAAGGGTTAGTTCACCCAAAAATGAAAATTGTCATATTCACCCTCATGTCGTTCCAAACCCATAAGACTTTCTTTCATCTTCAGAATACAAGTTAGGATATTTTTGATGAAATCTGAGCGCTTTCTAACCCTGCATAAACCGCAACTCAACTACCATGTTTAAGGCAATAAAATAGTCCATGTGACATCAGTGGTTCAACAATCATTTTATGAAGCTACGAGAATACTTTTTGTGAGAAGAAAACAAAAATAACGACTTCATTCAACAATTTCGTCTCTTCTGTATCAGTCTTCGATGCATGTTCACGACACATGCGTGTGGTGCTCTTGATGCAGGAGCCGGTGTTCTGACGCAGAATCCGAAGCGCCGTGCCTTTTTTTTTTTTTTTTT